CTCCGATCATCCCGTCCGGCGGCGGAAGGCCGGGAATGAGCGGCGGAAGAGGCGGAAGATCAGGAATTGTAGGAAGAACAGGGGAGGGCAAAACAGGGGAATCCAGAGGGGGAAGAACAGATTCAATGGAACCAATTCCATTTGGTGTTTTTGGGGATTTCAAAATTGTGGGCTTTTGGCTGCACAAACTGGGCTGCTCCAATGGCGTGAAAGTGAAGAATCCGGCCGAGAAAATTCTGGTTCCTCTCTTGTTCTTGGACTTGAAACGAAGAACAGAGGAAGTTGCAGAGGAGGCAACAGAGCAGAACGGCTCGCTGCTTCTGATCAGTTTCACAGAACAGCTCTCGATTTTCTTCACGTGTTTGGCTATGGAGAATGGTAAAATTACTCTGAATTTTCCATTCTTGTTCGTCTTCACCTGCTGCCGGAAACTGGTTTTCGAGGCTTCTCCATCTCTGCACTCCACTGCAACTGTGGCACCTGCAATATTCAAACATTTTTATCAAAACCCACTTTTTTTGGTTTCTATGATTTAGTCTCACAAGATTTTTTGTCCCAAGTAAAAGCACATTTGGATGTTAAAGATAACCGTAACTTTTAAGTATTCCTACAATAATATGATATTATCGGTTTTGGACGTAATTTTCGCGACTCAACGATCGCTTTCACCTAGAAATCTTCATATTAGATAATTGTCCTTTTTCTACTATACCATAAGTCACTCTTTCTTAGCTAAATACGCTGCCACCTGGAAGAAAAGTCGAATTTTTGACCAACTTCCAAACAAATTTGAAAGAAAAATTAGAAAATTTCCTCTCTACTCTCAAACTTACCTACAATCCATTACATTTAACATCAACTTAAGAAAAGGGTGTGATTGAAAAATTGTTGCCTTGCAAGAGCATGAACAATAAGAACTAAATCAAACCAAAAAAACCCAATATTGTGACTAAAACAACATTAAATCTAGGCTTTTTCTTGCTTCACTTTTGTAAATAGTTGAAATAAAAAGGAGGAAAAAGAAAGAACCTGAGATGAAATGGGGAGCTTTGGAGAGATTTTGTTGGAAGCAAGTGTCACAGAAGACAGTGCCAACAACAACAGCAGGAGGAACAACAATCTTCTTAGCCTCACAGAAGCCATTAAAACTCAAGTTCACAAAAACAAGCAACACAAACAAAATCCAACACAGCCTCATTATTCAACAAGAACATGAAGAACAACAAGAAGAAGAAGAAAGAATTTAATTTCCTACTTA